ACAGGTATTCGACAAGCAATGATTGAGCACCTACTGTGTACCAGGAGGCCCCAGTGGGCGCGGGGGGAAGTTGGCTTCCCCACCGGCTTAACAGGTATTCGACCAAGCAATGATTGAGCACCTACTGTGTACCAGGGAGGCCCCAGTGGGGCAGGCACGGGTAGGGTTGGCTTCCCCCATGATCTCAACAGGTATTCGCAAGCAATGATTGAGCACCTACTGTGTACCAGGCAGCAGGAAGTCAGCAGTGAGTGAATCAAGAAAAAGCCCGGCCAGGGAGCCCACCTCGCAGCGGGAGACGGGCAGCAGAGAAAACCAGAGAACGGGAACATTCTATGGAGAGCCAGGCAGAGGGTCGTGCGGGCTGGTGAAGGGAAGAGAAGGGGCGAGCTTTAAAGCGGGAGTGCAGGGAAGGACCTGGAGCAGAGACTGCAGAAGCAGGTGAGGGCAGCCTGTGGCATGCCAGGGCAAGAGTGCACCGGGCAGAGGGAACGGCAGTGCAAAGGCCCTGGGGCACCACAGCGGAACCTGAGGCCTGCCGTGGCTGGGAGGAGCAGGATGTGTGTCCAGAGCAATGATGGGCACGCAGGGCCTGGGGGCATGGGGACTAGGACTGTCCTCTGAGGGTGTCAGAGCCCTGGAGGGCTGTGAGGAGAGGAGGGCCATGCCCCCAGCCAGCGGGAAGGCCCCTGACGATGGGGCCGGCCCAGTGGGCAGTCTCTGCACGCAGGCCCTGCCCAGGCTGTGACAACCTCGCCTCGGACTGATGCCCCTCAGTGCAGCGGGGTCTCACATGCCTCTGGCGCTCCCGACAGGGCCTGGCTTTCCCTGGGCCAGGGAGGTGCAGCCCCGATTCCCAGGGGAGCCACAGCAGGAAAGGCAATGACTCCGTCCAGCAGCAAGGGGCAGGTAGTCGAATCCAGGTCTCTTCCCACAAGAGACCGCGTCTCACTACACAAAAATACACAACATTGCCCGCAGCAACACTGGCACGCGTGCGTGGGTCCAGCTGCATCCGGGAGGCTGAGGCGGGAGGAATGGCTTGAGCCCCGGGGCTGAGGTTGCCGTGAGCTAGGCTGACTGCACGGCACTCATCTAGCCGGGCAACAGAGCGACGACTCTCGTCTCAAAAGAAATTTTTTAACGATAACATAATTACAAAAATTCTGTCTCTGCCTGCAAAGGTCACAGCCTGGCGGCGCAGCACTAAGGAGTGGCAGTGCTGTGAGGCGTGCGGCACCCAGGGCCGGCACAAGGCGTGCGGCGCCTGCACCTCTCTCAGGCCGCACGCCGTCAACGAGCACTCAGCTGCCGCAAGAAAGCCCGCGACAAGGACCGGGGCGGCAGCCGTGCTCGGGCGCCGTGGAAGCCCGGCCCTGCAGCCCCCAGCATCAGGTGCTGAGCCCCGCCAGTCGCCCGCCACCGAGGAGAAGCCCCGGCCACAGGGCACGCCAGGAAGCCACCCACCGCCCGAACTCTGACCAGACAACGGGGCAATAATGAGCGTTTGCTGGGGGTTTTTTTGTTTTTTGATTTTTTTTTGAGGACGATCCGCTTTGTTTGCCCAGGCTAGAGTGAGTGCGTGGCCTAGCCTAGCTCCAGGCCTCAAACTCCTGGGCTCACAATGCGCTCCTGCCTCCAGCGCTCCCAGTAGCATGAGACTACAGCAACTGCCCACCATGCCCGGCTTAAGTTCTAATATATTAATTAGTTGGCAATTAGTTTATTTCTATTTATAGTAGAGAAGGGGGGTCACTCTTTCTCAGGCTAGTTTTGAACTCCTGACCTGGAGCAACCCGCCTGCCTCGGCCTCCCAGAGAGCTAGGATGACAGGCGTGAGCCACCGCGCCCGGCCGCGTTTGCTGTTTTAAGCTGCTAAATTAGGGGGTCATTTGTCACAGCACAGTAGATAAGTAACCCGAGCACACGGCACTGTTCTACTAAGCGCTTTAAGTGTGTGAACTCATTTAATCCTCCCAACAAGGTCATGTTTTTCCAGAGGAAGAAAGTGATGCGCAGAGGGGTTCGTTAACTTGCCCAAGGTCGCACAGCTAGTAAGCGGCACCCCTGGAGGAACGTTGAGTCCAGGAAGGAGATCAGACTTGCGGGTGACTGTAGTACGAGGCGGGGAGTGAGAGGAAGTGTCCGTCCAAGGAGGTGACGGGGGACGTGCAGCTCTGCCTGGGCCCAGCAAGGGGGGTGGGTGTGGGCTGTGGAGGCCGGAGAGGACGCAGGGGGTGACGGCTGGGTGGCGGGAGGGAGACACGGCCACGCACAGGTGCGGGCACAGGGCGGGCCTGGGACTGCGCCCACCCCGCGCCGTGTTCGGTGAGGGCCATGCAGAAGAATCCGGAAGTCGCCGTGTGTGCAGACATATGGGGCCGGGCGGTGACAGTGGCTTAGCACAGCCAGGCCGGTCTGGACATGCCCAGCGCGGGTGGCAGGGCTCCGCCCGCCAGCGTCACGCAGGCCCCTGGGCCGACGGGGTGCTGCGCTCTTGCGGAGCCGCCACCTCCGCGCCAGGCCCGGGGGCTCCCACAGCGGGAAGAGCTCGGAGGGGCCCCGGCTCCGCAGTGACGGCCGGGAGGGGACAGGTGGCTCTGCTGGCGTTTCACTGGGCAAAGTGACCCCGGGAACACCCGGCCTGTCAGAGGCTCAGAAGACCCGGGTCTCTCTGCCACCAGGACGTTACCCTGGGAGAAGGGACGGGGAGGAGAGACGCCGAAACACGGGAGTGCTAAACCCAAAGAGCTGGCGTGGAGAGGCTGCGTGGAGAGTTCCGCCAGAGGCGGTCCCCGGCCACCTGGAGTGTCCTGTCCCACCCTGCCCTCCCACCCGGGGAGGAGGCTCTGCCGTCTCCCCCTTCACAGAGGGGGCGCGGAGGCCGGGGGGGGGGTGGCATAGAAGACACCCAGCACCCACTTCCATCTCTCGCTCCCACCTTGCCCCGTGGCGTGGGTGCTGTCATCAGCCCGTTGTACAGATGGGGAAACTGAGGGCCAGAGAAGGAAGGCGACCCGCCTGAGGTCCCAGAGCTGCCCAGGGCAGAGTGGGGACCAGGACTCGGCCCCTCAGACCTCACAGCCCAGGCTCTTTCCCACGACCCTACGTCCTCACTGGCAAAACCCACGCTGCTCAGTGCTGCTGCCTGCACAGCCCTGGCACACGGAGGGTGCCACCACAGTGTCACCTCTGGGCTCAAAGGACACAGGGTCCTTTGCCCTGCCCGGGGCGGGGCCGTGATAGGCAGGGCCTTGCCCACTTCTGCGAAGGAAACTTCTGGGCAGCTTGTTCCTAGAAAAAGGGTCACACCCATTGTTGGCTTGCCAGCACACGTGCCCGTGGCCAGACGGGTCCCACCACGTGTCACCTCTAGGGTAACGGGCGGAGTGGACACACAGCCTGGGGCAGTGGCTGCTGGGAGGCCAGGCCCCTGTGGCTGCAGCGCCACGCTTGGGGACTGGCACGGGGCGGGGGGGGAGCAGGAGGGCCGGACTCGGGTCTCTTTCCCCCTGCCACCCCCACCCCGCCAGACAGGGCTCCTCCTGCCCCACCCGGGCACGGACACAGTAACAGCTCCTTCCGGACTGGCGCTAACTGAGCGCAGTTACCTGGGGAGGTGTTTAAGGGGCTAACACAGACACAGAGGAGCTAAGTCCTGTCCGTGTATCATGTCTGTGTAGAGACAGAGAGACATATACCAAATCTCTACATGCAGACAGATCAAGTCTGTCTCTGTAGGTCCATGGGTGACAGATAAGCTCAAAAGAAAGACCGCAGGGGTCAGCAACAAAAATGCCACCTGAGGCGGGAGGGTGGCTGGGGAGGGAATCAGCCGGACGTAACCTCAGGTCGAGACTTCCCACCCACCCGGGGCAGGGGACCTGGCCTTGGGCCAGAACAGGGAGGGGGCAGGAACGGAGACCCCAGCATGAAGGCAGGACCCCAAAGGGCTGTCCCCCATGAAAGCAGACTTCGCTCTGCCCCCAGCGGGGCTACCGCCCCAGACTGGCCGGGAGGACGCGTAAGAAACTGGCCGTCCACGCCTGGGAGCGCGGGGTAGGGGTGCGGCGGGGCCGGGACCCGGATTTATTCCACCCTGGCTGCAGCACTCCCATGCCAAGACTTCAGAATGAACCTGGTCCCCGGCTGGCGGGACCCCTGGAGCGTCACCCAGAACAGCCTCAACTCGGCCCTGTCGGGAAACTTCTCTCCCGGGAGGCGCGAGCCTGCACGGGCAGCGCAGTGAATCCAGCGGCAGGCCTGGGTTCAGATCCTGCCTCCACACGGAGGTGCTGGGATTTCCCATGCCTCAGTTTCCCCCTCCGTACCATGGGGGCAATAATCGCTCTTCCGCCTGGGCACTGAGAGGGCCGAACTGGGAAACGCGCCAGGCAGGGCAGCTGGCCCAGAGGACAGGCCTGGCGAATGTCTCCGGGCTTATTGCGAATGGATGAAGGGCTGGACCGCCGGTGAGTCACAGGGACGAGCCACGAGGATCGATCTGCCGCGGTGAATGGACAGGGAGGGAAGTGAGTGGATGAATGAAGGCTCAGCGCCAGCCTCCCAGCTCAGGAAAAGGCCAGAGGTCGGGTGACGGCCCCGCCACACATAGCGTGCACCTGTGACGCCCCGCTTAATCATGCCCCTATGTCATGCCGGCATGCCGGGCAGGAGTCCCCTGAGTCACCCTTCCTGCAGGCCGGCCTCAGGCCCTGCAGCTCATGGTTCCTCTCCGGGCCTGGCGGGCAATGAATCAGGGCTTTTCGGAGGGAAATGAGAATTAAAACACTCAGCAAGGAGTGTCCAGCCCGGCAGGCGGGGGGAAGGGTGGGGGGGCGGGGTCCTGGCTCCTGTCTGGCCTCAAAGGGCCCCTTGCCCACTGCTGCCAGGCTTGGCCACCCGTGGGGTGGGGGAGGGTCGGCTCTGCCCCCCACGGTCATGACAACAAAACGCTCGCTGGGCAAGGACTGCTCACTCATTTCTTCATTTTGTCCTCGTCTCAACCCCGGGATCGGCCTGTCGTCTGCCCGATCTTGACCTGCAAAAATGACGATCCCGTGTGTCGCTTGGTCTAACAGTCTCCTTGCTGGGATCTGGCAGAACAGGGAGGCTCAGAGCGGCCGAGCAGCCGGGAGGAGGCAGCGTGGGGGAGCCCGGGGCCCTCAGAGGAGGGGCCGTCGGGGCGCAGCTGGGCAGGGCGGTGGGGCGGCCACGGCCTCAGGGCCGCCGCCTGGCCATCCGCACCAGGAATTCGGTGCCCCATCCGCACCGGGAATTCGGTGCCGGGGATTTTGAGCGGCGGGAGGGGAGGGCGGGGCTTTCTGCCCTCCTGCGGGGTCCTGGGGGAGGGGGTGGTTGTGGCCCCATCCATCTGTCCATCCGTGGGGGAGGCCCTCTGTCCCCGAGGCCATCGCAGAGCCCCGGGTGCTCATCTACCACGCGAAGGGGAGCCCGAGCGGCGAAGCTGACCCGCAGGAAGGGCGGGTGACGGCAGCGGTCCAGGCAGACGTGGGTACGGTTGTCCCCAGGGGTGTCCCCAGGGGAATGTGTGACCCCTGGGCAGAGGCACCCAGGGGCGAGTGGCAGCCCCGGACGGTGTGGGAGTTTGGAGACTAGCCTGGAAGGGACCGGCACGCTCGCTGTGGGGGGCAGGGCGGGCCGGGAGGAGCAGGCCCACCGAGGCCACACCGAACCCACCTCCTCGGGAAGCTCACGGCCACCTCGCATGGGCCCTCTAGTCCCCAGACGGTGGCCTTAGCGCCTGGCTCCAGTAGCAACGACAGCGCCACCCCTCGCCCCGTGGATGGCATCCCCCGTCTGTCCGCGCTTGCTGTGCTTAATTAAGGGCGTCACATACGAGGTCTCAAGGGAGTCCCGCCTCAAGACGTAAGCAGGGGCTGCCCCGTTCCCCACCTTTCAGGAAGCCAAGAAAAAACAGAGAGGTTGAGTAACTTGCCCAGAGTCACACAGCTCTAAGAAGTGGAGTCGGAGTCAGAGCTCCGGGCCCTTATTCTGTTGGCTGCACACACCTCGCTTCCTGCAGAAACGTCTCCTGCAAGGTCAGACCGGGTGAAACTCAGCCCGGCCCACTCACGCCAGGGGCCGCCCCGTCCGCCAGCCACGGAGGCGGCGGTTCAGGGCATCGCTGCCCCTGGGAACATGCCCGTGCTGCATCCTTGAAGGAAAAAGGGAGTTGTAAGTCAGACAACCACAGCCCCATTTCTGCTCATTTAAAAGCTGTGTAGACAAGGGGCCGGGAGACAGTTGCACCTTGCAGTTCTGGCCATGGTGACGCTGAGGAGGAAGAGCAGGGCCCCGGGGAAGGGCGGGGTCCAGCCCACCAGGCGTGGGGCCACCGAGCTGTCCTGGCCGGTCCCCGATGGCGGTCTGCATGTCCAGGGAGGGGGCCGTCCCCATCCGTGGGGGGCTAGAGACCAGGGCGAGGGGGAGAATGGCAGAGCCCAGCTGGGGCTCTCGGGCTCTGAGGCGGGGCGGCCCTCGGGGGAGCCGGGGCCGCCTGGAGGGCGAGGCACATCCCTCCCCTGCTGCGGAGGAACGTCTGCTCGCCCTGCTTTGCCCCAGCCGCCCGCCGAGCCTGGGATGCGTCCCTCTCCATACTGTTGCCAGTCTGTCCGTGCCTGATATCAGCTCAGACGCCCCCTCCTCCAGGAAGCCTCCCCAGATGTCCGGGCCAGGCCCATGCTTTCCACAGCCCTTCTCTGCCTCCCTCTTCGGGGCTTAGTGCTTCCAGACTCTTCCCCTCCTCTGGCCTCCCCGAGGGGGTTACTTTACAGCCACCCGGGGCTTATTCTGTAGTTAAGCTCACTGCACGCGCACCTGTCCTCCTGCTGGGCCCTTGCCGCCTGTGATCCCACTCGGCCCTCACCCTGAGGGTGGGTGGGTGCTGCTACTTGCTGCGGGAGGCTGAGGGGCCCCCCCTCATCACACACGGCAAGCGGCAGAGACAGCACCGCACCCGGGCCGGGCTGTGCCTGCAGGCGTCTCGGGGCGCTGACCTTCCGCCACCAGGCTGCAGGTCCGGTAACGTTAATCGGCTTCCCTCTCAGCGGCTGCCATAAAGCACCCAGAAGCATCGCGACCTAAGGCGACTGCCACCGGCACCTCCACGGCTCCTCCCCTTCTAGTTTCTCCTCCCGCCAACCCGAGAGGCGGCGCAAGTGCCCTCCTTGTGCACGTGGGGTGGCCGAGGCCCGCAGGTGCAGGGCTCCCAGGGCACCTGGCTCGCCGGGGCTACGCTGCTGCCCCCTGAGCTCCCGGTTTCGGAGCCCGGCTGGGCACGTGGGGCGCGGGGGCGTCCCTCCCAGCACCTGGCGAGGGCGGGACGTCCGAGAAGTAGGCTCCCTGCTTTCCAGAAAGGAACTGGGAAGCTGGGGAAGGACCAGGTAGCAGACAGGCACCCTCCCGGCAGGCGGGAAGTCTGCCCGTCCCTTCTGGGAAGCGGGGTAACTCGGCAACACCGCGTGCACTTTGCCCCCAGAGGAGCACCAGCCGTCGCTGCTGCCAGCACCCCTTCCTCCCCTGGGGGTGCGGCCTCGCAGCTTGGAGCCTCCACGTCTGACGTCCAGGTGGGCCTGGCGACAGCCTTGGGGGTGTCCGGCCACCTGTCCAGCCACCACCGGATGACGCCCAGCTGGGGCGTCTGCCCGCTGTCCGGGGGTGGGGGGCGGCGCAGGCTGGGACACCCCAGAGGAGCCCTGAACCGGCCGGGCCGGGCGGGAAAGCGTGAGTGCTGCTTCCCGGCCCGGCGGCTGTGCACAGGGGAACCGGGGCCTTTCCTGGGGCAGGCTTCCCGGAACCGTGGCAGTGACTCCCAGTGGGGCTGACCCGGAGGGCGGCTGCAAATGACTCAGACCCGTCCTTCCCTGGCACGCTCCCCACGTGGAGCCCGCGAGCCCGCTGGGCGCCGCCGGGAAAGCCCTCTCAGCCCGGGCTGGGCCACCCTTCGGTGTCCGTCCCTGCGGGCCCTGCCTCTCTGTCCCGGGTCCCGGTGCCGGCACATCCTGGGCGTGGGGCCAACAGAACAGGAAGTGGGTGGCCCGCCGGTCTCAGATCCTGTCCTAGAGATCACTGGCCCCCTCCATTTACAAATGAGGAAACTGAGGACGCCAGGCCAGGCCAGGGACTTGCCCAGGTCTCTCCTCTCTCCCTCCCGCCCGGACATGCCCCAGCAGCAGTGGCGACAACCTTCTGCTTGCCGCCGGAAGCCCGTGGATCCTTCCAAAGCCCTCTCCCGGCCTCCCCCGCCTCGCCAGCCCCAGGCCCCAGCCACGCCTGGCCGGGAATCTGCCACCGCAGCCGGCGCCCCGCCAGGCCAGCAGCAGGGGGCCGCTTCTACCTCGGGCGGCCTCATCTCTCGGCAGCCGCGCCTCCCCCGCTGCCCCCGTGAAGCCAGGACCCCTCACCGCCCCCGTGGCTTTGCTCACGCGCCGGCCTCAGCCTGGGATGCTGTTTCCCACACCTTGTTTCTAGAATTCCTACTGTCCCTCGAGACTCAGCATCACCACCTCCAGGAAGCCTTCCTGGACGCCCCCAGCTGGACCAGGTGCCTCCTTTGGCTCCCCCGGCCCCCGCCATGTCCCCTTCACAGCGTGCACCGCCCTGGGCTGTCTTCCCCCCCCCAGGGCCTCTCTCCTCCACGGGACCGGCGCTCCATGAGGAGCTGGCGTGGAACAAGAGGGGCGATGTGGAGACGCGCGCGGGCGCGGGACGCTGTGGGACGCTCAGCCTACAGGGCTGATGAAGGGCTGGGCTTGGGGCCAGGCAGAGGGACACGCCAAGGACCCAGTGACCAGATACTCGGCTGTGCCTGAGATGGGGGCACTGGGGAGGCACAGAGCTTGGGCCATCTGTGAGCCCCCGGCTGTCTGAACCCCCTTCACACTTTTAGGAAACTCTGCTGACGTGGGACCACGGGCAAGGCAGAGCCCACCTCCCGCGGGAGGAGCCCAGACAGCCCACACCCCCTTTCCTGCCTCCCTTGCAGCTAGGGTGTGACATGTGACTGGGCTCAGCCAATCAGAAGCTCCCATTTTGGAGCTTGAGCAGGCAGCAGGTCCTGCCCGCAGAGGAGGACGGAGAGCTCCTTCTGGAGGGAGCCCCAGACACGCGGAGCTCCAGGGCGGACGAGAAGCAGCAGAACGTCCCAGGCTGGCTCTGTGGTGGGAATGGGGTGAGGTCTGGCCTCCCCTTCCTGCTTTCTTTTCCATGTGGGCCTCCTGCCTTCCTGAGGGTTCCACGAGCACCCAGATATCTATTTAATATGCTCTTTTTCTGTTTAAGTGGGCACAGTTGGATTCTATCACTTGTCACTCAGAACCCTGGCGTCTCCTCTTGGGGAAACCACCGCACTCGGTCTGGAAAGAAGGCCAGGACGTGCACGTGGGTGCAGGAAGCAGCTGACCAGGTCAGGGCTTGTGGGGCCAGCGGGAGAGCAGCCAGGAGGCGGCCAGGCGTCCTGGTGAGAGCTGAGGCGGCTGTGGGGAGGGAGGGACTCAAACGTTCTCCAGAAACAATCAGAGGTCGGATGGAGATGCCGTCCCCCCTCCTCCCGGGGCGTCCCTGCCAGCAGCCGCCACCTGCCCCTCTGTCATCGCTCCACCCGGCGCTGCCCGAGCCTGGGTCTCGCCCACACCCCTGGACCTCCCGAGCGCTTGGGAGTCCCTGCCCCACCCCGGGGGCCCCCGTAAGCAGTCACGGAGGGGAGGGGGGCCATGGCCCTCCAGCTCACTTGCCCCTGATCAGGACCCACAAGGCGTGACCCACCACCATGTCACGGTCACCAAGCCCTCCTTGTCTGGGGTCACCTTCTGGGGAACCCTCACTAAGGACGGTGACTTCAGGTTTGGGGGCGAAGAGGGGACAAGGTTCTGGCTTGCGCAAGGGCGCGGGTCCTGAGGGGGGTGGACCGGACGGGGAGCTCTTGCTGGGGGTGCGAGGGGGCAGTTTCCTTGGGGACCAGTTGTTGCCCTGGTTTCACGTTGCCAAAAGTGCACCTGGGCAGCGACCGGGCTGAGCGCAGATGCAGTTCGCCGTCCAGAGAAAAGGCGCCCAGCCCCGCGCAGTCCGCTCCCAGCTGCACGGCAGGCCGGCCTCGGCCGGTGCCACTGAGGCAGAGACATCTGCGCGGGGCACAGGGGCCGGGTCAGGGCCTTCTTGGCAAGCGCCTCCCAGGGGATAAGGCCGGTCCCAGAAAGCGTGAGTCGTGAGCAAAGCACCCCCTCCCTGGCCAGGGCAGGAGGTGCCCCCCCCCACCCCAGGACTCGTGTCCCACCCCGGGACTGGCGTCCTCGGCCATGGCGACCTCCTCCCATCTCTGCCTCGGTCCCAGCAGCTTGAAACACTTCCGGGCCCAGAGGACACCCGCATCAGACACGTGGGGAGGGCCAGGCTCGGGAAGAGAAGCGACTTGCAGAGATCGCGAGGCGGCAGGGAGGCTCGGCCTGGCTCCCTGACACCCCTCCTGCTCCCTGACACCCCTCCTGCCCCTGATGCCAGCGTTCCTGGCTGGGGATCCCCTGCGGCTCCCCGCCCTGCCCAGCACCCTGCAGAGTCACCTCCGCGTGTGGGTGCCAGTCGTGCAGACGCCCTTCCTGGCACAGCACGGCGAGAAAGCCAAGTGCCCTGGGCACCCCCTGACCTCCGGGGTGTGCTCAGCCCCGCTCTGCGCCCCTGACCTGGCAGTCCCCCAGGTGAAGCCTCGCGGCGGGTGGCCCCTGCCCTGCCCGCTTGCGGGTGGCAGGTCCCGGGCAGGGCTGGAGCGAGGGCGTGGGACTGGGCACACCCGGGCCTGGCAGAGGGCGTGCCTCTTCTTCCTGAAGCCAGGGCCGCCTCCCGCTCTGCGCCTGTCCGCCAGCCCCGCGTGGAGGGCAGGTAGCCGCAGACACGGGCCCTGCCATCAGGGCTGCCCCGCCGTCCTGTGTGGGGAAGGGGGGTGCTGGGGCGCTGGGGTGCTGGGGGGCAAGTCTCTCTCTCTTTGATGCCCCTTCGGCCTTCAGAACCCCTCGCCCGGCCCCCAGGAGTGGTGACGAGGGGCTCAATGGCGCCTCCCTTCTCCTTGGCCAGGACAGGTTCCTTGGCCCCTGTTAATAATGACGGCCAAATCCGCACAGTGTCTGCCCTGCCCCGTGCCTGGCCTGCAGCTGGACACTTGGCCCACATGCGTGCGGAGCAGCCCGTTTTTGCAGGTGGAGGAGATTTAAAGCCCAGAGAGCGTTAAGCGATTGTGCCCCAAGTGCACAGCTAGTACACCGGTGGGGCTCTGAGTGACCTCAGCCCCCGCGCCTTCACAGGCCCGCGTGGTGGACCCATCCCCTCAGGCTCCCGGGAGGCTCCCGGCAGCTCCAGGAGTGTTTGTGGAATGAATAATCCAGCTGCCGCTTACTGAGGGCCGCCTCAAACTGCCTCAAGCATTTTTAATTTATTCATTCGAACTTAATAAATTCATCTTTTTAGAGGATGTTCACAAGCTAAAGGAGACCACAAGGTCTCTCTCTCTCCTCTATCTTGTCCTTACCATCGCCCTTTTCCCTTGTACCAGATCCCTCACGATTCCCCCAGAGACTGGTAGTGGTTTACGCAGATATCACGCAGTGGCCCGACCATGCTGTGAGTCACCTGCCGCTGCTGGGAGCTCCAAAAACCAACGGCGGGTAAACGCCTTCCAGATCGGGCCGGGAGTCTGGAGCAAACTGGGCTGGAGGTTCCGGCTCAGGCAGCTCATCGGGACGCCGCGGCCGGGGCTGCTGCCACCGCCAGGGCTGCTCTTTCGGGTGGCTCCTCACGAGCCTGTGCAGCGGCCCAGTTGCCTGCCCGCGCGCGTCCCGTCGGCGCTGCTTGAGCGGCCGAGCGGCGTGGGCGGCTGGCCGCCGCCAGACGAGCGGCCAAGAGGCCAGGAGGCAGCGCAGGATCGTTGTTGATGTGGCCTCGGAAGACGCACTTCCGGCCACCCCCCAATTGGCACGGGCAGCACCCCGGTCGCTGCGGAGCAGGCCACGGTGGCACGGGCACAGGAGGTGAGCAGCAGCGTTCACCTGCAGGCTGTTGGTCCACGCTCACTGCCCTGCGCCTGGCCAGTTTCTCTGCACAGTCAGGTCCGGTGGCTCTGACCGCGCGTACACGAGTGGCCTGTGTGCGAGCCACGCGTCCTTACCCGTCTGGCTGTGCCCCTTCGGGTCACTCCTGTCAGTCGCTATGACAATCCCGCTGGCCATGCGGTCTTTGCAAAGGCTGCGTCTCCAATACTCGGGCGGAGTTTCACTCAGTGAGAGGATGGGCTGACTGTCAACGCGAGGTGGTGTGTGTGTGTGTGTGTTAGTGTGTGGCGGTGGTGTGTGTGTGTAGTGTGTCATGGGCTGCTTCCGTGCAGGCAGAGGGGGACGTGTCACGGGCCATTGTCCCCTCTGCACTGCGGGACAGGCCTGGTACATCCCCTCTGCGCTCAGACAGGGACATATGACATGTCCCCTCTGCACGCGGGACAGGGCCTGTGAACGTTCCTCTTCACTGCAGGACATGAGACTGATGGACATGTCCCCTCGCGCGCAGGACAGGGACTATGACATGGTCCCTCTGCACTGCAGGACAGGACCTGTTACACGTCCCCTCTGCACGCCAGGACAGACTAACATGTCCCTCTGCACTGCGGACAGGGAACTGTGACACGTCCCTCTGCACTGCAGGACAGGGCCTGTGACACGTCCCCTCTGCGCTGCAGGACAGGGCCTGTGACACGTCCCCTCTGCACTGCAGGACAGGAATGTGACATCGTCCCCTGCTGCCACTGTGGTACAGGCCTGTGACACGTCCCCTCTGCACTGCGGGACAGGGCCTGTGACACGTCCCCTCTGCCCTACAGGACAGGGCCTGTGACACGTCCCCTCTGCGCTGCAGGACAGGGCCTGTGACACGTCCCCTCTGCACTGCAGGACAGGGAATGTGACACGTCCCCTCTGCGCTGTGGACAGGGACTATGACATTCCCCCTCACTGCGGACAGGGTGTGAACGTTCCCTCTGCACTGCAGGACAGAGACTATGACATGTCCCCTCTGCGCGCAGACAGGACTATGACATGTCCCTCTGCACTGCAGACAGGACCTGTTACACGTCCCCTCTGCACTGCAGGACAGGACTATGGACATGTCCCCTCTGCACTGCGGGACAGGGAACTGTGACACGGTTCTCCTCTGCACTGCAGGACAGGCTGTGATCACTTTCCCCTTCTGCGCGCAGGACAGGGGCCTGTACACGTCCCCTCTGCACTGCAGGACAGGGAATGTGACACGGTCCCTCTGCCACTGTGGGACAGGCTGTGACACGTCCCCAGTCACTGCGGTACAGGGCCTGTGAACGTCCCCTCTGCCCTACAGGACAGGGCCTGTGACAGCGCGCCCTCTGCGCTGCAGGACAGGGCTGTGACACGTCCCCTCTGCACGGCAGGACACGGAATTGACACGGTGCCCTCTGCGCTGTGGACAGTAACTGTGACACGCTCCCCTCTGCACTGCGGACAGGCCTGTGACAGCGTCCCCTCTGCCCACAGGACAGGAACTTTGACACGTCCCCTCTGCACTGCGGACAGGCCTGTGACACGTCCCCGTCGTGCGCCTCGGGACAGGGCCTGTGACATGTCCCCTCTGCACTGAGGACAGGGAATGGACACGTCCCCTCTGCACTGCATGACAAGGGAACTGTGACACGTCCCGCAC